CGGAAATGAAGAAGTGTATTTGTAATTTTCAACGTCTATACTTCAGAATGCACTGTTCTGTCTAAGCGTCGTTTAGCAGAGATTAGAGATAACTGAGGGCTCCGTACGATGCATATCCAAGCAAAGGGTAAATTACTTGGAACAAAGGAGTGAATAATTATCAAGAACGATAATTTATCAATCTCTACAAAGTTGTGAAGCATTCTCTTCCTTTTCACCGCCAGCCTATTCGCTTGAAATGGATTACTTCATGAAGTTACTCAGTAAAACTAAGTCTTCCGATCCACCAAAAAAATCATTTCTCATCATAAAGGAGCACTCCTCTTAGAGCCATTGGCGGACATGAAAGCATAACCTGCCATAGATGACTGTCAGCAAAATCTCGCCGTTTATCATTGGTGCAGCGCCCGGATGCGGAAAATTCGTCCCAGCTCGGAGCTTGTTTAAGGATCCGGGATTCGACCCAGACCCCTCAGGAAAGTAGTATCATAAGACTACGACAATCTATCTTTTCGTAGTTAGGACGTATTATGTGCAATTTTACTGTTCATTGCCTTCTGAATCATGTGGAGGAAAGTAATTAGGCAATCTGTTTGCAACACCGTCGTACTGTTTTCCTCTATTCTCTTTTGGTACAACAGATCTTTTCTACAGAATCGAACCATTTCAAACTTTCCACGTGTTTCTTCCTTTCTAAGGTTTCCAGTGAGATCATATTTCAATTATTCACACAAACTCGGCATATAAAATCTTAAAAAGTTTCTGTGTTTTTCACTATATTTCTTGAGATTTAGAACAGCAAGCGTCGCAGTGCGCCTCATTGCTTCGCCTAAACTTATCAGATTTTGTTGAGTTAGAGCGCTTTAATCTACTGAGGTTGCATTGCATGAGTCTCGTTGCGTGCTCTGCTGTCCGAGGTGCTCGACCGCCGCTAACCGTCTCATCTAAATCTACGTAGCTGGCTACGCGAATTCGCCGCGACAAGACTTCCGCGCGGCCGTGCCAGCCACTGAAGACGTGGCATAGTAATCCCTAATGCGAGGATTGTTCTTCCAAAGCAAGAATGACGAAGAGTGAGGAGTAATATTTGAGTCCAGCATTCTTTATTCTTCAAGTGTTGTCGCTTTTCTTACTGAATTCTTCACAGTATTCTTAGGCAAAATTTGAGTTTTTTCTACAATTTTTACTAGAACCAATTATCGCACAAGTTCTTTAGAATTCAGTTATTTGTGTATATGTTCCCACGTCTGAGTTCTTCTATATTTGGTATTATACGTTGGGAGGCGGCCAAGTGGTATTTTTTTTCGGAAGGTACGCGAAACGCTTGCTTGTTAGACACTTTCCTCTTCACCTTTCCTTTTTTGGGTCTTGAACGAAGACTTCTTCCCTGATGCTTAGGCTAGAAGCGCAGCACTGTATGGTCCCCGTGATGGTCTACCGCCTCGTCGTGGCGCAGGGGTGACTCTGGGTGTCGAACTGCGAAGTACAGCGGAGGTTTATGCTCGGCGTCGGCTCTCCGGATGCCCAGCTGAGGGTAGCTCCTGTCAGAACCCCCACCCACTGTCTGATGCAGTCGCTATGTGGTTTCCTGATCTATAAAGGTCAGATTGCCTGTGGTGAAAGCTTAGGAAGCCCTGGCAAGGCTGAATATGGAGAAAAATTCTATCGCCTGTACAACATGTAAAAGGGAAAGAAGCCCTGCACAATGGATCACATCTCCGGTGTCGGATGTCATCAAAAACAGTAACAAATTACACAGGGTGCCACGGATTTCGGACCAGAAGGACATGCATACGACTCGCTATG